ACCAGGACCAGGGCCAGGACCGGGACCAGGACCAGGACCAGGACCGGTTCCTCTGTGCTTACGTGGGCGGCTCGGACTGCTCCAGGGCTCCCTGCACCAGCAGAGCACAGGTCAGATTCACCACCAGGAAAAAGACGCCGAGGCTCAGGAAGAACAAACGCAGAGGGAGCCTGGACACAGAAACAGACAGAAGCTAACGGAATAAGGTCAGGAACGGGTCTAAAGTCCTCCGATCAGATCCAGGACCGTCCCAACCTTACTTGTATTTGGTGAGTTCCGGTGAGTACTTGGCTTTGGCTTTGAACATCACCTGCAGAATAAAAAGGAGACACAAAAATACCTCACTTAACTCATTGACTGGCAGCCATTTTCAGAACAGAGTCCCATACTGCCAGAGTTTTTTGAGCGTTTTGACTGATTTTTCTAGAGCCACAGAACAGTTTGTGCTATGACTATGTAAACACCGAACACACCAAAAGAAAGAGTAGACTTTATTCTTTCATCAGGAAAAAAAAAGTGTTTCTACCTTATTCCGTTCTTCCTGGACTTGCGTCTCACCGGCGACATGTTCTCTCATAGAACCGTTCCCTTTTTCTTATTTGCCTACAGTCTATGCTCATCTCCCATCAAAAGTGGCACTGCCCCCTAGAGGCTCAATTTGTTACTACATACTCTGTCTCGAAGCCCATATTTACGGACTAGCTTTAGCAGATCGTCCCCCAGACACTCTCGTTGAAAAACATAAAACACGTCTATAAACGTCTTTGGCAGCCAATGAGTTAATCCCCCAAAAGCAGCACAGTTTGCTCAACTCCTGTTTCAGAGCGTCAGGAGGGTTTGAGGGTTTGTTTTCAGAGGAGTGTGAAGCTAACGGAGCCGTGGCAGATTCCTGTTTTCTGAAGTCAGACAGTCACAGCCGGCCAAAGCCAGCAGGAAAACCAGATTACAGCCATTCTCAATCAAAAGAAATCAGGAGTTTCTGATTTTATTAAAATTAATCTGCAGATGACAACTGATCTGAGGAAAACTCAGCAAAAGTCACCTTCTAAAACAAGAAAAAACCTCTAAATATACTTCATCATAAAGACTAAAGGTACCCGAAATATGCTTTTTAAAACTTATTTTTTAGGTAAAGATTCACGCTTTATCATAGCTACTAAAAATATACGTATTACATCTAACCAAAAGTTTTAAAAACTTTTATAAAAATGTTATATCTAGGTTTAAGGTTTAAGAAGTGTTTAAAGACTAAGCCATTTAAAGGGGGAAAAGTAATATTTAAAGCAGGTTTAGGGACATATTTGGTTATTTGTTATTGAGGGATATCAAAGAACCCTCTGAGGGGAAAATTAATAGATAAATAGAAGTTTGGGAGTTTTCTGAAATGCAAAAAAAAAAAAACTGTGACATAAAAAGCTGGCTTTGGCTGAGGCGTGTTGTCACACATTTCAGGCTATAAAACTATGACCAATCAGCGGAAAGGGGCCTTATAGGGTGAGAAAAAAACAAAACATGTTTAACTGCATCTCAAAATTCACTCTGTGACTTTGTACAATTAAGATAGAGGAAGTCTAAGTCTATCTTAAAACACCTAAATGACCAATCAGAGTCCAGACAGCCAGAGAAAAAAAAGCTACAGTCGGTTTAAACCAGAAAATGGTAAATATGGGTCATCTAGATTTTTAAAGTACAGAAATTATTGCTTTGGGAAGATGTGCTTCAGAGTCCCTTCTGGTTCATAATGACCATTAAAGTGGTGTAAAAACACAGGAGGCCTCGGCCTGGCGAAAGTAGACCAGCGCGAGCTAATTTGTAACCGAGACCGAGGCGGGCAGCCAGCAAAGCAAATCCAGGCTGTGTACTTTACCATCTGGCCCAGAACAACAGGTTTCCCTCCAGAGTGAGAGGACAAGCGCTGCCATCAGCAATTACAGCGTCTGACTCATCACAAAACGCTCCGTCACTCACCAGAACTGCCTCACATTAGCCTAATATTAGCCTAAAACTAGCCTAATGCTAGCAGATTGTTTAGGGATGCACAGATGTTAAGAGCAACGATTTAAACCAGATATTTTCACATAATGGACAAAAAAGGAAGCTGAATCACCAGTAAAGATTAAGTTTCTCCAGTCTGCCGCTCTGCTCTAATAAAGTCCTGATTTACTCAGTACAAACTCCTGATAAAACCACCAGCAAAGCCGTTTACAGACGTTTCCAGATTTGGGTCAATAACTGGACCAAGTCGGCCATTTTGATTAGGTCACCAATTGGAAGATCCCAGGCAAGAAAATGGTAATTGCTTCATGGCAGTATAGACATTAATTTAAAAATAGTGAAATGAATCTTGCAAACACTGAATTAAACTATCGATAATATTATGTTAAAATAGTGGATGTTAAATAGGTTTGTACAATAAGTCCAAACAAGTTTAACCTAAAAATATGTATTTATCACAATTATGAAGGGTTAGGGTCAGGGTTAGGGTCAGGGTTAGGGTTAGGGTAGGGTTATGGTTAGAGTTAGGGTCAGGGTTAGGGTTATGGTCAGGATTAGGGTTATGGTTAGGGTTATGGTCAGGGTTAGTTAGGGTCAGGGTTAGGGTTAGGGTCAGGGTTAGGGTTAGGGTCAGGATTAGTTAGGGTTAGGGTTAGGGTCAGGATTAGGGTTATGGTTAGGTTTAAGGTCAGGGTTATTTAGGACATCGTTTATCTTCCGATTTCATATAGACAGTAAAGTTTCGTTTCCACCTCAGAAAGCTGCTAGTCAGATGACCTAATCAAAATGGCCGACTCGGATGTGGGAGGAGTCTGATATCCGTCCCAGGGCTCCTACAGACTGAGGCCGAGCCGTGGAGGGAAAAAGAGGAACCAACCGGACTGGTGAGTCGTCCTCACGTGGTTTTCTGTTTCAGAGAAGTAACGAGTGGCCATGAAGAACACGTGAGAAACACGGCAGAGTGAGAATGGTGGTGGGGGGGGGGGGGCAGCTGATCATCTGATGGGGGTCATGTGACCCACTGCTTCCCCTTTCACCACACCGGTAACAGAGGCCAGGCACAAACACAAATATTAGACCTGAGCAAACACTCATCAGTTCTGGCTTCCATTAACGTGCAATAGTTCAAAAACCTGTTTAATCTAAAGCCGTCAGAGTTAAAGCCCAAAGAGGAGCAGCTATTTATTTATTTGTTTATTCGACAGGGACAGTACAATTAAACATTGCAACCAAACAGGTGGCCGATGTCCAAGTGCATAAGGCTTGTAGCCATGGGCTAATTTGCAGCCTTCGTCCCTGGTTACGCTTTTAAAAGGTGTTAGCATTAAGGGGGCTCCTAAAGGTTCCTTTCCCCTCAGAATCAGCTCAAACTTCAGCTCTCTGCTCTCTTTCGGAGACTTTATCTGACCTGGAATACCTTTCTTCTGCCTCTGCCCCGTCAGATCTGCTGCATTAACTCTGGTTTGCTGCCTCTTTCCTGGCTCACGCTGGAAAAACTACATTAAAATAGCCTGGAAAA